AGTATCGAGGCCCCATCTTCTTGTACTTTCGTGTGATTCATTCACAGTTCTCTAGATTCTCTGAATTTATGATCATTTTTGCATGACATTTTACACAAACAAGCCCTACTGTAACTCCCCCACTCCTCCAAAAACTTCAATTACGAGACATATATAGAGCGCACACCTCAAGAGGTTTCGGTATTCGGAAATTGCAATTTTCTGGGTTCGATAATAAACCGCCACAACGATCATTCAAAATTGGCGGAAAACAAAAAAACTGACACCGTCGCAACCACTTCAAGGGACAACAACAACCTTCATGAGATTTGTGCCTCCTGCAACCTCTTCTTGGATTCCATGGACGCAAACCACAGTCTCGCCGGATGAGACAAGGCCAGCGTCCTTGGCTTCAATCAAAGCAGACTTAATAACGCTGTCGGTTCCCTGGAACGATGGAACTTGAATGCAAACAACACCCCGATGCATTTGTAGATGACGAATGGTTGATTCTGATGCAGAGAGAGCGAGGACGACTTGATAGGGACGGTACTTCGCGATGAGCTTGGCTGTGAGGCCAGTCTCTGTCAAAGAAATAATCAAAGAAGCCTTGATGTCCTCGGCAGTTTCAACCGCTGCGCAACACACAGCTTCTTGAACAGAAACTGGGCGAGGAACAGAGCTATGGATAGCGTTGTAAAGTGCTGGATAGTCGATGCAAGCTTCTGCTTCAAGACACGTTTTAGCCATCACCTGAAAAACAGAAAAACGTGCTTGATGGAACAATAGCAGCCTTACCCGAACTGCTTCAATTGGGAAAGCGCCTCCAGCAGTTTCTCCAGAAAGCATGACGCAATCAGTTCCATCTGCAAGTGAAAATCAGGACAGATGGATGGAGACTCTGCCACGTACCCAAAACGGCGTTTGCGACATCTGCAACTTCGGCACGTGTCGGTCGTGGATTTTTAATCATGGATTCAAGCATCTGAAGAAGGATTCAATAACGAAGTATCATGGACGGTGCATCAGGATCACCAAATTACTATGCAAGCATAGGTTGGGCCTCTATCTAATATGTGAGATGGAACATAGATGTACCTGTGTGGCAGTGATGACGGGCTTTCCTGCAATATTGCATTTTGCGATCATCATTTTCTGGGCGAGGAAAACCTTCTCAGGAGGAATCTCCATGCCCATATCTCCTCGAGCGACCATAATTCCATCGGCTTCAGCCAAAATTTCATCGAAATTAAGAATTCCTTCGACGTTTTCGATCTTCGGGATGATCTTAATGTGGCGACCGCGTGCACCAAGGACCTCACGAATGTATCGAACATCTTCCGCTGTTTGGGTGAACGACGCAGCGATGAAATTGCAACCTTGGGGAATTCCGAAACTCAAAATATCGTTTTTCTCGCGTTCGCCGCAGACGGGAAGGTCAACTTTGACGTTGGGGAGATTCATGTTCTTCCGCTCTCCCATGGTCGCGTTGTTGAGAACTTTCGTCATGACGTGGTCGTCCCCAATTGACATGACTTCGAGGGTAATCGTTCCATCAGCCATCAAAATTTTGCCTCCAACCTTCACTGATTGAGGAAGGGCTGGATACGAGCAGCTGATGCAATTACTGTCTCCCAGGAAGTCGTAATCAGTCGTCACCTTCAGCGTCTGGCCGAGAACGAGATTGATACTCGCGTGGTCCTTTAACATTCCTGTTCGGATTTCCGGTCCCTTTGTATCCAAGAGAATTCCAACCTTCTTGTTTCGCCTCCTCATCGCTTCGTGGAGGTTAGCGACTGTCTTCGCGTGAGCGGCGTGGTCGCCATGAGAGAAATTCAAGCGGGCGACATTCATTCCGGCGTCGATAAGCTTCTCGAGATTTTCCACATCCCAGCAGCTTGGACCTGAAAAAAGAAACGAGAGATGTAAAAATCTGATAATGGAGATCTCAGCGTACCCATCGTGCACACGATCTTTGTTCGACGTCCGAGATATTCATCGTCGTTTCTGTTTTCCAAAATCTGATTCATTCGGATATCCGTCGTCTTCCCCAAATTTTTGGAAAGCACATGAGAGGAGGAAACCATTCGATTCATCTGGATTATCGATTGAAGCGAAGAAGAAGGTTGAGTGGAAGATGAATTTAAATCAAACCGTTTTTGCGCAGATCCTCCAAAGTCCCAGGTCTCCCCGGTTGACATGCAGTCGAGTTGATGGAGTCGTTTTCAGTGTGATTCAATGAAGTGTAGTTCGTGCAAATAGACACCATTCCACTTTAACTTTTTGGTTCATGTCGTGCAGAAATGTTTTAAGTGAAAATGAACCGTCAAACAAACATCAGGAAGCAAACAGTAAGTTTGGACCCTCCCATATCGCCATATCTTGCTGCGTTGCGGCCCCCAGACCCAAACACTGCACTTCAGACCCCTAGTGGACGGGAAAGCAACTCGCTTGAGAGTACGACTTTCTACTGGCCATAGAGCGATCCACTGATGTTGAATGCAGATGGATCGAATGGTTGGCCTTTAAAGGGGGAACTATCAGCTTCCCACGCTTTCTTCAAAAGTTCATCCGTTTTCATCTCCTCAGATGTTCGCAGCCCTTGAGCCTTTTGTTCTTGATCCCACATTACTTTATGGATAGCAGCCTGCAAAACCGATTTCATTAAACTTTAATTGAAAAACAAACTGACTTGCGTCTCTTCATCAAATTCGGCAATTTTCTTAACACTTTCTACTTTTGTCAAATCAATTTCCTTCTCTCCTTTCAAAATACTCCCCCACCAGTTTTCTCTCCCCTTCTCCAGAGTGACAATCAGCCGACTTTGATCTTCCACCACCCACATCGATCCGTCCAATTGAATTGGCTCATAAAATTCTCCCTCTAGAAGAACAGCGTCACGATACATCACATTGATGCGACTTCGTTCTAATTTCACTTTAATATTCTCCTTAACGTTCTGAATAGCTTCAGGAAGCACTAGTTCAACTGTTGCTTCTCCAAGCGTTTGGCTCCACCAATATGTTTCAGTTTTTCCTCCATTCCAAGTTGAGATTCGTTTGAAATTACGGTTGCTAGAAGCGGCAACTTCAACGCAACGGGGGACGCTCCGTGTGCTCTGCACTGACGCTGTTTGTAGCCTGAGAGTGTTCCGATTTCGTGAGGCATTCCATCTTAACATTGGAAGATGGCTTTTCTGAACATGGCGGCTCCTTCACTGCTTTCTTGTGCTTTTCTGGCTGGTTCTGACCCAAGGAGAGTAAATTAGGTTGAACTCTGGACAAATAAGAATGCTGTCGCTTCTTGAAGGTTGTCTCCAGAATCTCAAACGCCCTTCCAGTAGGGAAACCCTTTGCATCAGACGGTGCTGTCATGATATGGAAAAAATCAGACTTTCGTTCAAGAAAGCTGAAAAATGCGTCCAACAGATTTTCAATATTTCCAGCATCTTGAGCGATAGGTAGAAAATATTGGTCGTACTTCGACATCTGTTACCAGTATTTTCATCCGTCACACCACCCCATGCTCGGAAGACCAGGTCCATTTCTCTTTCCTGACGCCCTGGAGGGAAGACCAAGGATAGGACGACCTTCCATTGATGAAACAGCAACGAGTATTCAAGATGTCCAATCTTTGATCACGACATGGAGTGATGAGTCGGACCCTCCTAAAGATGTATTCACAAGCCTGCGATTGAGGAAAAGAGAAGCGAGGGGGTGCCAATCCAACCAGCGCGAACTCTATCCTTGGTCTCACAGTGAAGGCTTCCGCTATCGATTGGCATACAATGAAGAAACGGTGTCAAATCTGAGTCTATTGAATCAACTGATTGATGGTAAGTCTGATTTCAACGATGTTTCGTCAAAAATTGCTGCTGGCTTCTGCTCCGTTTAAGGAAGAGGCCGTCTGAACGACTGTGTTTTCGTCAGCTTCCTGATGTTGTCTTGAATTCTGATACTTCTTCATTTTGAATTTCAGTCCATGAAGGTTGTATCAATCGCCTGGCTTGGAGTCCTGATGGCCAACATCTTGCTTCTGGTAAAGAAGAGAGTTTAGATCCTTGCAAACAATGATCCCTACAAACAATCGCTTGAACCTTCTTGTTGGGCTCTTTCAGTCAGCGATGATTGCAACGCGTGCATCTTCTCTTTGAAAGCTTTGTATCAAAATACTTCACCGTTGAAGTTCCATACCGGTGAGTTGAAACCAATGAAACCATTTGGTATCATTGTTTGTTGTCAGGCCACACCAGAAACATTTTTGGAGTTTGTTATGTTGGGAGTGACCCAAAAATAGCGACTGGGGCGATGGACGCTCAAGTTAGGCTTCATCAATTTTCTCCTAGTGGCCACTCCTCGACGTGAGTGCACCGATCGACTCGCAGATAATTATCTTTATCTTTATGTCTTTCTATCATTTCATCTTTATCTTTATTTCTTTTTATCATTTCAATAGAACTGTTTATCGATGTCATAAATGTCGAGTCAAGGAGACTATCTCTCGTCCGAGTTGTGGGCCCGTCTGGTTGTCCTGCTCTGAGGATGGTAACTCTATCCCAATGAGTTGTGATTCATCCTAGACTCTCATAAGGTACAATCCGCCAATTTGATACCCGCATCCGTCATGAGTGCACCACCAACTGCTCCAATGTGAGTCTGCCCGTGGTGACGTGGGGTGCCACCATGGCTTACGGCTTGGATGTCTTCCACATTCATCTGTCTTTTTTTCGTCAACTTTTTGTTCAATCACAGGTGCTCATCGGTTCGCTTCTTACACCCCGCCTCGAACATGTTAGAACGTCTGACCCCCCACCTCGTGGTGGTGTTCCGTTGTCCTCATACTGGAGAAGGACAAAAGTGATCCATCCTTCGAAGCCACCGAGACACGCGTGCTCATCTCAAGCAAGACCATTTGGGAATATAGCAGTACGCCAGTTTGAACCCTTTAGTGATTTTATTGAATATTGTTTGAATACCAACATTGCAAAAAATCGATATCGTCCCTCATCATTTTGTGTCTTTGTAGTGGAAATCCATTTCACTCAACCCAATTCGAACTGAATATCTTCTTGCTGGAGCTGCAGATCCACTCATCCGACTTTACGACCGCCGAATGCTCTCAGTTTCCTCTGCAATGAGCTACGCCCCTCCATCAAGCCTCCCTTGCGAGACATACATGCCGCTGCAGCTTTCCTTGGGGCAGAGAAAACCGCAATCACTGTCCGAACCCCACCATCTGAATCCAACCCACGTCCGGTGAGTGGGAATGACAATACATCGTCCTCAGACAACATTGAGCTGTTAACGCGATATTGGTTATCACTTATCACTTTTTTGTTTGCATCGCACTCACTGATTCTCAGATGGAGACCCGATGGCCGCGAGTTTTTAGCAACTTATTCTCTTGGGGATATTTACGCATTCCCATTTAATGGATGCCGTACGTCTGACACCAATCAGTTCCGCGTGGATCTTAAAAGTCTTGGAGAATCAATCGGGGAAGCAAACTCTGCTGAGGGAAATTCTGCTGAAGGAAATTCTGCTGAGGGAAACTCGTCTGAGGGAAACGTCCCAAGAGAGAGAACTGATCTCTCAGCTTCCTTGGAGACCCCGAACCAGCAAAGCGACGACACGACCAGCAACGCGCTGCGTGAGGTACTCCATGAATCCGTATCGAGGAAGGTTCACTTTCTTTTCTCTATTACAGGAATCCCAAATAGAAGAGCGACCACTCGAAGGAATCATTGATATTCTTCCTGATTTTCTTACCGATTCATTCTTTACGATAACGTCAGATTTGCGCCACATGAACCCCTCTGCTGCCAAGTGCGTTCTGAGCCAGAAACATCACCATCAAAAAGAGATTCGGGAACTTCAGCTGATGGGGCACTGCTACTGTAGGAGATAGACGGGTGAAGCTTTCCGAATACTTCTCTTTTAGTCAAATCCGGAGCACCAACTGATGCCATTGTCGCATTTACCGCCGCGTTGAAACTCTGCGGACCTCCCTGGCCTGTAGTCATCCCTCCATGTACGGGATGCTCAAACTGTTTTCAAGCCCCTCAAAGTGAGTTCATCTTTTGCGCTCTCTCATTGATTTTGTCGTCACAACAGTTTCCAATCCAGACCATCAAAATCGAATAGTGCGCTTCGATGAGACAATCTCCGAACTTCGCTTCCCACTTCTGATTAATCGAGCCATGGCACTCATACGAAGACAGAAAGAGGATGACCTTCATCAGGCAGAGCTTGACGCTCTCGAAGCGCTCTCTTACCATCCGGGAAGCTACACGTCGGCTTTTCTGTTGTTGCTAGCTCTTTGCCATGGTCATTATGATGACGTGTGGACTCGGCAGTTGTTCGCATTGTTTCGAATCGGTAGAGCATTTGGTCGCCCAGCTGAGGAGCGAGCCATACTTCATATCCGTTCAAGGTAAAGAAATTTGTTTTCAGCAACACTTCCCCCCTGGATCGATGCCCCTATGATGCTCGTTAATTGCAATGCTACCTCTCTTCCTTGCGTCTTCTCTTTCAGATCTTCTTCCCTCTTCAATTCAATTCGCTTGATGGTAAAATTGTGTGTTGCGTGCTCTAATGAATTCTTTTCACTTCTTCAAAGGACGATCCATTAGGAGACAAACGGGTACCGCAATCTGATGAACGCGCTATGCTCCACGTTAATTGATGCAGACGTCTTTTCTGTCGACTGGAATGTCCATTTTCGACAGATACAGAGAAGGGATCCCATGGTGGCTTGGGTATCGAACTCTCGCCACGCGTGAAGCATTCTTTCGCCATAATCCAACGTCAGAGGACGCCCTTGAGGCCGACATCTCCTTCCAGGCTCAGAACTATCTTAGATCTCATTTCGGAGACGCTACTCATCCCGGAGTCTCTCATTTAGCCTCAGAAAGTATCAACAATTCTCAGAGTGAACCAGATGGAACAAAGGAGGCTGATCAACAATATTACGATTATTTTGACGTCGTTGATAATCCGTATTGGGAGCCTCGAGTGATTGCCGACAGGTAACACAAATTCACAGAGATTCCTCACAATGTGCATCATGTAGATTTTATGGGCGACTGAACGATTTAACGGATATTCAAGAGGCGTGCTTCTTCGGAAATCGTTTTATCATTTCGGGTTCAGACTTTCCTTCAATTGTTATTTTTAGACGATCTGACGGTACACACTCCATTTTAAACGATTCTAACCAATCTGGACACTTGTTGGTTTCATCGACTAATTTGTGACTCTTAATCCGTATTTATGACTCCTTTCATTCGTAGGTGCCGTTGTGAAGACCCTCGATACGAACCATATTGAAGGAATCAATTGTATTCAGCCACACCCCACCCTCCCATTGATCGCTACAAGTGGGTTGGGATGCAGCATACAAATTTGGTCATCGAAATATTCTGTGAAAGCCGAAGATTCTTCCAGTAGTAGCGAACCCGTAGATGATGCATCTTCTTAAGCTGAGAATGCACAACCGTTTTGAGACCCTAGTTCAAGAAAAATACGCTTCACAGATAGATACATGGATAATTAAATTTTTTAATTGTGGATGAAACATCGAACATGTCATCTTCCATGCTCCTCATCCAATTCGTCATCATCATCAATGGGGTCTTCAAGTCTTTCCCTCTCCATTTCCTCCAGATCTTCATTCTCGTCCCCATACATTCTGTCAGATGTTTGTGGGATCCCTTCCTTTTGATCATCGTAGCCATCTTCATCTTTCGCTCCGCCACAGTTTTCTTCTTCACACCGATCAATCCATTCACTATAAACGTCGATCGGTTCTGTCAAATCTAAAAGATAATAAGATGAATGACAATTATCAGCTGGTCATTGGAAGACCATAATACGAATGACAATTATCATCTGGTCACTGGAAGGCTATAGACCATAATATGAATGACAATTATCTGCTGGTCATCTTACTCGAAATCCTCATTGCATAGTTAACATTGCACACTCGGCAATAGAGTTGACCCAAAGCCCTTTTCCTTTCCCTGTATAACGGAACAGGCTGACGTCAATCGCCGCCCATGGACGCCTTACAACTTGGTCTCAACGCATTTTGTGTGGGTGCAAAATGGACAGTCAAATGTTGTAGAGAGCTTGATGTTGAGTTTTGGTCGAACGACTTTGGTACTCTTTCGTTTTCCCCATTTTTGCGTAGCCTTCCGCGCCATTTTCAGCACCACATGCAGAACAAAGGACAGCAAATTAAGGAATACGAAAATTCCTGTCGGCTTCCTTGCTCACCTGCATGCAGTGCTATCACACTCGTCCATTATAGTCCTTCTGTCCTATCAAAGGTTTCTGTTCTACTTCCACCATGCATACAACATCCAGCCCATATCGCCAATCAATGACCACTCAGGGGTACAATTATTCTTCGACCCCCACCCCGACGCACGGGTATCCGTCAGTAGCAACAACGACTACGTCCACTTCGACGTACATATCAAATCAGC